CTGCTGGACACCTAGTGTGCAGGAGCCCCCGGCTGCAGGGGACAGTTGCAGCTAAGGAGCAGATTACCTGTGGGGCCCTGGGGAGGGGACCTGGGGCCCAGTGCAACAAGAGGTCCCGAGTGAGGCTCAGGCTCTGCTTCAGGGCCTCGTTCTCCAGAGTTAGATGCTGCACCCTTTTCTCTGAGTCTGTTGCCCCCTGGCAGAGAGAGAAGCCCTTAGTGTTCACCTGCAAGCCCTACCCCTCCCTGCGCCCTGCCCCCAGCAGCCTCACCACGCCCAGGCGCAGTCGGCCCAGCTCCTCCTCCTGCTGCTCCAGCTGTTGCTTCAGCTCTTCCAGCTGGGGAGAAGTGAGGCACACAAGCTGGAGCTCCTTTCTCCAGTACCCTACCCCTCAGTGCCTGCCCGCTCCTGAGCCTTTCACCTGTCCAAGGATGAGCTGCTCCAGACGCTGCCAAGCCCTCTGGTCCTCATCTTCCGGTGCCTCCTCCTGGACTTCAGAGAGGTGGGAAGGGCTTTCTTCTCGGGATGGGGATCCTGGAGTGGGTGAGCCCAGTTAGGACTGAGAAGGTCTTTGGTCTGGATCCTCTGGAGCAGGGCTGGGCTTGGGACCCAGGACTCCAGACCTCCCAGGTTCTGACCGGCTTCTCTCCCCCTAAAGAGTCCTTTTTCAACTTACTACCCCTTACGCACCATCTGGACTGGGGTGCCGCACCCGAGAGGCTGGCTGAGTTCCCTGAAGCAGGGCCTGCCTCCCCCTGGGGCTCCGAATCCATGCCAGAAAAGCCAGGAGCTGACTGGTCACTGTCAACAGTGGGGGGACCTCACCAGGCTGTAGAAGACATAAGAATCAGAGCAGAGACTGGGTGGAGGGCAGGATTGTGAGTTCCAGAAAAACTGGGGAGAGATGACAGGTTGCTGGAGACAGTCCCATCCCTGCTCACCTTGCCCAGGTCGGGAGGACTCCCGCAGCTCTCTTCCGCCCCCAGCTGGACAGAGAGGAACTCAGCAAGGCGCAGGAGAGCCTCTTCCAGGGACACCTCGGCCGGGCGGCCTTCGGCTCCCTCGTCCGTCCCATGCTCAGGCTCCGAGCAGCCTGCGAGGCCAGGTAGTGGGAGCGGGAGGCATTTCGGATCACGTGTTGGAGGCTGAGCCTTCTCTCCCTCCCAATGGGATCACGGGCACCCCTCCCTCTCTGGGAGGGCGGGGCTCCCTCCTGGCCCTAGCGCAGCGCTCCCGGCCGCACCTACCGGCCAGGCTGGTCAGCTCTGTCCACAATTCTGGCGTGGGCTGGTCGGGGCGACGGCGACCCCTGGGCTTGCAGCGGGCTCTCTAGGGAGGGAGCAGGGGCCGCCCCTGAGGAGGGGGCAGGCAGCCCATGGGGCTCCTTCCCTCCCGGAACTGGGCCAGAGGGGTTGGGGCTGAAGACTACGCTTCCAACACCTGAACCGAGACGAGGGTTCTCAGCACGGCCCGCTCCCCAGTGTCGGCGACCTGACGACGTGAGCCACGCGGGTCTGCCGCGACCCGATCTGGGGGTGGGGGTGGGGGGCTGGTAGACCGGCGGTGCAGGCCCACCCCCGCTCACCTGGGCGGGGTCCCCGGGGTCCGCGGCCGCCGCTGCTCCGCCATCCCTGCGGAAGAGGCTGTAGAAAATATAGATGAGCAGCGAATAGAAGGCGTACATGGGAGCGCGGGGCGGCAGAGGGCCCCGCTTCGTGCCGCCCCGCGTCCCCGCGCCCCGACTCCGCACCCGCCCGCCGCAGTGCCGGTGCGCATGCTCGCGACAGCCGCCCCCACGGCCCGGCTCCCACGGGCGGAGGGCGCGTGCCGAGGGGCGGGCGGCGGGGACAAGGGTGCCAGAAACAGGTGTCCCCGCGGCCGCACCCCGGAGGCCCCGCCCCTTCCCAAGGCCCCGCCCCCAACCCCAACGTCGCAGAGACCTGGGCAGGTAGCACCCACCGCTCCCGCACCCTCTCCTCACGGAACCCCGCACGCTGGGTGCCACTGCCCCGCCCGGGCCCCCTCCCCGCCCTACCCCACCTGGGCCCCTTCCCCGCGCAGCCCCGCCAGGGTTCTACTAATCATGGATCCTTCCGAACTACTGTGCCCACACATCCACCTAAACCCGGCGCCTTCTCCAGGTTCCCCACTCCTCCCTTCCGACCCCACCTCCTCCCAAGGCCTCCCACTGGCCCCGCCCCGGCCGCTCTAGCCGCCGCTGCTCTCGCTGGTGGCGGCTCCGGGCCGCGCTAGCCTGGGCCACCTAGGGGCAGCTGGGGAGGCGGGGCCGACGGCTGTGGGCAGCTTTTGGCGTCCGCTTGCTTCTGAGCTGCGGCCGCGAGCCCAGGCACTGAGCACCGCCGGCCGCCCAGAGGCCTACGCCGTCGCTCCCCTGGGCCGGGGCTCCCAGGACGGCACCTCCCCGAGCAGAGGAACCAGGCCGAGGCTCCGCGTGGGCCTGCACGCCTCGCCGCTTCCCCTCTCCCAGGCCCGGCGCCCTCGCCCACCCAGCCTAGACCCCAAGCCGCCTTGCCCTCTTTCCCGGCTGAATTAGGTTCTTCTTCCCACAGGTGTGCCCAGTGGCCTCAGGAGTCCAGAAAGTTTAGGACTGAACCTACCCAACGTCTGGTGATGAGGCCCTGGAACCTGAGAGTCTTGGAAAGTCGCCCTTAGGGCTCCAGGTTTCCGGCTTCTGCGCTTTTTTTCTCTTGAAAGTTGAAGAGCTTCGTGTCTTCTCAAACTTACTACCGCCGAGGTGCCATGGCCCCCAAGCCGGTGGTTGAGTGGAGCACAGCCATATCCCACCTGGTGCTGGGAGCGGTGTCTCTGCACGCAGCAGTGAGCACTGCCCAGGTGAGTACCCTGGGGCCTGGCAGGAGCATACCCCACTCTTCCCAAACCCCAAGGACTTAGTTTCCTGGTTCCAGGAGAGGGTGGTGGGAGGTGAGTCTAGGAACAGGTTTCCATGAGAGCCCCAAACTCTTTCCTGTTTAAAGAGGTGGCCCCTGGCCTTTCTTCCCTGTGTTGACAGGTGAGTCGAGGGGCTGCTGCTGGCTTCCTGCTCCAGGTTTTGGCTGCCACCACCATGCTGGCCCCAGGACTGGGCACACATGAAGACTGTCTTGCTGGAGCCTGGGTGGCCACTGTCATCGGCCTGCCCCTTCTGGCCTTTGATTTCCACTGGGTGAATGGGGACCGATCCTCTGCCAACCTGCTCCTGGGAGGAGGCATGGTGTTAGCAGTGGCTGGTGACCACCTCGGCCCTGAGGGCCGCTCTGTGGCTGGTCAGGCAATGCTGTTGGTGGTCGCAGTGACCATCCTCATTGTGGCCGTTTTCACAGCCAACACTTATGGGATGTGGGGGGGGCTGATGCTGGCTGTGGCAGGTCTCCTGAGCCGGTTGGAGGAGGACAGGCTACTGCTGCTGCCAAAGGAGGATGTCTGTCGCTGGGCCCTCGCTGCAGGCAGTTGGGCCTATTGCCGGGCCCTGCACACACAGTGCCTACAGTGGGAATGATGGACGCAGCAAAACAGGGCTTCTGCTCTGCCAACTGCTTTCCCTCCCACCAGCCTGCTCCTGGGGCCTTCTCGCCTAGGGATAGACTCTCCTTCCCAAAGTGGGCTTGCTGCAGGTTGACTGGTCAGAGTCAGAGTCTGGGTGCTGTCCCTAGTCTGGCCACATGTGGGGACTTGCCTAGACCAGAGTGAAGGGGATGGAGTCCCAGGCACATTTTGGTGCCTGATTTTGGGCTGCACATGGTTGTGGGTCCAGAGAGAGGACTGGTCTCCAATAAACCTTAGAAATTTCACAGGAATATGGAATCTGCCCATTCATGAGAACTGAGGGATCCTTAAGTGAGCTCCCTAAGACCCCCAGGGCAGCAACTGGTTTCCCTGGACAAAGGAAGGGGATATGCCAAAAGTGGGTTGGGGCCTCACCCAACCGGGCCTCCTTTTGGCACCTTTGTCAGGAAAGCCCCAGGGCTAAGAACACATAGTCCTCGGCCCTCCATCCCCTGGGACATGGTAGAATTCCAAATATCCTTGCCGGCCTGGCAGGTGGCCCTCTGGGGCAGTGACCTTCACGGACTGATGAATGGGGTGGAGGCAGGGGAGGGCTGTACCACAGCAGTTCCCAGAAGTACACATCTCTTCCCAGGGCTGACTCGACTTCTACCTGTTTGCCCTCGGCCTATGAGAGCCAAGTCCTATTCCCTAAGACCCTCACTTTCTTCCATGGACCCCTTCAGCCTCCAACCACAGGGTTAGGAAACGGGATTTGGCAGAGCAGTGGGTTAGATTCCGGTAGATTAGGGGTCTGGAGTTCCCCCTCCCTGGTAAGTCCGCTTTCGTCCCGCGGTCCTGCACAAGACAGAGAGGGGGGCTTTTCCTTCGAGCCCTGCCCCTCAGGCTAGCGAGGCCAGAGCCCCGCGCAAACAAGCCTGAGTCTTGGAGAACAAAGAGGCAGGCACACCTCCACCTAGAGGTCCGCGGGGGTTCGCTCCACCCGGCTGACTCGCAGGTTGTGGGTGCTGCCCTGACGTCGCCTCTCATGTGGGCTTTCCCGCCCCCAGGTGCGCGCCCCACCGCGGTTCGCACTGACGCCAGCCCTCTTTCTGCCCACCTTCTGCAGGGGGCGGGCCCTCGCGCGCCCATTGGCTCTCGTCGGCGCGCCGCCGTGCTCCAAGCGGCGCTCCCATTGGCCCCGTGGGGAGCTCACGTGACGGGGAGGAGGAGGAGGGGGCGGTGGCGGCGGCCGCGGCGGGGGGGAGCGCACAGCGAAAACAAAGATGGCGGCCACGCCGGGGTCAGCGGCAGCGGCGGCTGCAGGGCGACGCGCGGGCCGGACCCTCTGAGGCGGCGGCGCAGGGAGCGGGGCTGCGGGGTCGCGGAGGCGGCGGCGGCGGCGGCGGCGGCGAGAGGGCAGCAGGAGCGCGCGGCGTCCCTGACTTCTAGCCGCGGGAGCGTGCCGGCACTCGCCGCCGGGCCGGCCGGCCGCGATGTCCGGCGCGGAGGAGGCCGGCGGGGGCGGCCCGGCCTCGGGGCCAGCGGGTGCGGTGCCGGCCGGGGTCGGGGTCGGGGTCGGAGCTGGGGCCGGGGCGGCAGCGGGGCCGGCGGCGGCGGCGGCTCTGGGCGAGGCGGCGGGGCCCGGGCTCCCGGACGAAGCGGGCCTGGCCGGCGCCCGGCAGCTGCAGCTGCAGGAGGCGGCGGGCGACCCTGACGCGCCGCCCAAGAAGCGGCTGCGGGCGGCCGAGGCGGCCGAGGCGGCGGCGGCGGCGGCGGCCGGCAGCGGGAAGCTGGAGGAGCGGCTCTACTCGGTGCTGTGCTGCACCGTGTGCCTGGACCTGCCCAAGGCCTCCGTGTACCAGGTAGGGCTGCCGGCCGACCCAGACCCGGCCCAGCCCGGGGCTCCAGCCCCTGCTGTGGGCCCCCAGCCTCCGGGGCTTCCAGGAGGCCAGGCCCGGGGGCCGGGGATGCCTGGCGCCCGAGAACCCTCTTCGGTCCTCACACCCGCTTTACTCGCCCGGCGGGACTCCAGCGCCTGCTCCGAAGCTTCTCGTCTTCCTCTCAGTACTTTGTTTCCTGCTTTGAACCCCCCTTTTCCGTGTTCTGACCCACCTTATTTCCCGCTCTCAGTCGCTTCTGCTTACATTCCTTTTCTCTTTTCCAGATTCCTCTGCGTCCCCTCCTCAACGCCCCTCCCAACCCACCTTCTTAAGCTGACCCTTCCCCCACTACAGTGGCTGCTCCCCTCATTCCCAAGCTCCCTGGCTCAGTCCTCTGCGCTCAAGAGTTCCTTCCCTGTTTTTCTGGCAGCCACACCCCCAAGCTTGTCTTTCCACTCTCTGAACTCCTGTGTACATCTCCTTTTCTGTCTTCATCAATAGAAGAATCCTTTCACTTTGTCAGTTTCATTCTGAAGCACAGGAAGAAGAAAGAGGATTCCCTCTTGTCCCCCTCAACCTCCCCATCTCTGGTCTGGATGAGCCACCTGCAACAAGCCCCACAGTCTGGTTATCTTTTCCAGCCCCAGCCTAACCCAGTGTCCTCTGAATGTGCCGTGCCCTAGGATGCTCACCCATGCCAGGCCTGGCTTCCTAGGCTACCAGTGCCCTGGGAGGTCTATGCACCCTCTTCCCCCACCTGCAGACCCAGCCCTAACCAGCTCAGTGCTGTCGGAGAGGGTATTTGGCCCAGGTGGGTCTAACATGCCCCCTGCCAGGTAGCAACAGGGGCAGACTTCTGGTCAGTGCTCAGTGTCCTGTCTTCCCCTTTGTCCCTTTCCACCTCCGCTTCCCAGTCTTTTTGAGAAGTGAAGCAGGTTCCTTGTCTATTTTCTTTGCACTTGATATAAAAGCTGGAAGTGGCCGATGGGGCCATGTTTCCCTGTTTATATTTAAACTGGGCATCTGGGCGGGGGCCATTTTTGTAATAGGCAGTCTAGGGCTAGTCTGGGTTGCAATTTCCCCAATCTCTGGATCCCCAAGTCCTTCCTGTTCTGGCTTGATGTTGCTTGGAAGGACCCCAGCGTGCCTGGGTAGGGAGAAGGCACTGGCTTCCACTCTGTGTATTAGGTGCTGGTGCCAGCTGGGGAAGAGTTTTTCACAGCTGGCTCACAGAGCCAGCAGTTGCCCCTTGGCTTTCAAGACTTGCCCACTCTCAGCCCCTTTTCTCTTGCCCACAACCTTTTGATCCTTCCAAGTGGAAGAGCTCTCCCTTTCTTGGATCTTGAGTAAAAGTCCAGCGAGCCAAGCCAATGGTCGGAGGTCCCAGGAGAATTCAAGGATCTCTTTGTCTCATCTCCTGTGGATAGGCTGGAGCTGGACCCGGCATGGTGATGGGCCACATGGCACTGGTCCCTGGTCCACTGCATCCCCCAGCTGGGCTGGCGCAGCAGAGACAGCTGTGGTCCTGCTTCTGGCCAGAGCTGCTGGTGACCAGGCCTCTGAGCCTGGCTGGCTCAAACTGGCCTGCACTATGCTGAGTGGCTGGAACCAGTGAGCTGAGCAGCTGTAGTGGAGAGTGAAGGTGCTGGGGCTGCCCTGACCGGTGGCCCTCCCTGGCCCAGGATCTGCTCAATGGCTGCCCTGGGAACAGACCACATGAGCAAGAAGAGCCATGAGTGCTGACCGAGCTGTGGGCTCTTCCCAAGTGACAGCTGGGCCTCAGCAGCAGAGGTGTTTCTGGAGACCTGGAGAAGGCTCTAGAGTCTGGAATGTGTGATTTGTGGGAGAGCCCTTGGGTCAATGTTGGAACTTATTTTGGCTGCTCACAAACCTGCTGTGTGACGTGGGGGAAAAAGGAAAGGTCTCTTGGTGCCTCCGAATGCTGTTGAAGACGCCTCCTGTAGTGGTTCCCTGCTGTGTGCAGTGACCCTGGAAGATCACTGTTGTGTCCCCACTGAGGCACTGTGGGCTGAGACAAGCCTAGAGACCTGGACTCTTGCCAGGTCTGTTCCCTGGAGGGTCTAGGCACAGATGGTGTGGGTGCCATGCTTACTGCCTTCTGTGTCTCCCTGGTTTGGGCCTATTACTGGCCACTGCCTTGGCCTCGGCTTGGCCGTTCTATCTTTTGCGAGCCTTCATTGGTGAACTGTGTTGATTGGCTATCATCTCTGGTTTCTCCAATGTCACGCATGTGGCATGTTCATCCTCTGTTCCTGATGGAATGTTTTGCCTGACCCCCGGCAGAACACATGGCTCTGGGTGGGCACCAGCTATGCTGTGCATCTTGGGAGCTGGCTCAGGTGGTACCCAGCTTTGGGGTGAGGAGAAGAGGGGGGTGGCCATGCTGAGCCTTGTGTGCTGTCCCTGGCACTGGGGCTGTGGGGGACAGCTCCATGGGCCTATGGAGTTGGCTGAGCACTTTGTAACTCGAGAGCTTGTCATCCAGCCACTAGATGCTGCCTTGCTGCCAGGGAAGCCTTGAATGGCAATGAGAGCAAATGTGGGCCACACATGAACTCATCCACCTGCTCCTGAGTCTGAGCCCTTGGGCCTGCAGGACAGGCTTCCCTACAAGCCTGTGCCCACATGCCATACTTCGAAGGCTGGGAAACTTGCTTGGGTGTGAGACCAAGGCCCTTGTGCAAATGGCTTGCTGTGCTATAGCCTGTGTCGCATTCAGGTTCAGGCTGCAGCTGGTGCAGCAAATGCTGGCTTTGATGTTCTCTGTGTGGGTGTTAGGTGTGTCCTGGATGACTGGCCTGACAAGGTGTGTGGGCACCAGAGGGGTAGCAGGGTGGCTGGGGGGACAACAGTGACACCTGTGGAGGAGCTTCTGGACAGTCCAGGCTGAGTAGGTGGACTGGCCACTCATGTTGGTGCCCCGCTGTGGGGACAGCCCTGTGGCCTGAAGACATGTCACCTGTTGGCACCTCTGCCCGTGGGAGCACCTTCTCTGGGGAAGATAGGGCCTCAGTGGTGCCAGATCCCCTGGCTCTACTGGCACAGCCCTGCACGCAAGGCTCCACATGGTCCTTTGTGGTCTCCCATGAGATAGACTGGCCCTGGGTATTGGTGCTGGCATCTGGAAGAAGGGACCGCATGTTGTTCCGCCCTTCCCAGGGCATTTTTGAACTTAGAACAAGCACTGGCGCATAAGGGTCAATCAGGGGCCTGTGTCACAATTGTGTCCAACCTGCATCCGGGGTGGCCACAGCTGCTCCCTCTCACTCGGGTCTTGCGGCCGGGTCCCTGTATCGCTCTGGCATCCTTCTGCCTGAGCTATCTTCTCCCCATTCCTGCCCGCCTCCACTCTTCCTCTTGGGCCCAACTGAGGCGGTGCTCCAGTTTGAGGCCATCCTTTCTCCCTGCTACGAGGATGCCCAGCCCTTGCTTGTGTGCCCCTCCCCATCTGACAAGGGCACTCCCACCCTTGCTCCTGCAGGAGGATCAGTGTCCTACTGCCCTCCCTCCCCTAAGTCCTCTTGTCTATATACCAGTCTCGGCTCAGGACTGGTTACCTGACCATCTCATTGATAGAAGGCCCAGGAAGCAGGGATGGCTCCATCTCTGCCCGAGTGCTCTCTGAGAGTATGCCCACCATCCAAGGGGACCAGCTACCTCTTCCTGAGTTCCCTGGGCAGCAGCACAGGGCTGCAGCTGATTGGTTCTTTGAAGTGAGAAAGGTAGCAGAAAAGAGCTCTGAAAATGTATCTGCTCAGGCATCCACAACTCACAGGATAGAGCAAGGAAGGAGTTTCTGGAATCTCTGGCTAGGTGAAAAGTGTTCTTCTGTGATGGTGGTTTGTCGTTTTGAGTTACTTTTAGATCAGCATTTAAGTCGTCAATGGGAGCCCAACTCTAGAGGGTTTATTGGCCCCTGCCCAAGTCCTGACAGAAGGAGGGAGGCAGCTGGCTCAGGACTTCAGGTCCTGCCTGGATCAAAGGTTCAGGCCCTGCAGTCATGTTGGCCTTAACAGCTCTGTGGCCTTGGATAATGCCTGGGCCCTCTCTAGCCCATATTTGATTAAGAAGGCTGAGGGGTGAGCATGCTGAGTATTGGGTGTGCCCTGAGACGCTGCTGGGCCAGGTGGGAAGGAGGGGGAATCTCCAGCTGGCTGGGCAGTGCTTTGGGATTTGCGCCACCGGGAAGCCTCTCAGCTGCATCAGCTCTGATGGCCACTGCCAAGGAGGGTCCTCGACCCCCTGGGTGGGGGCTATAGTGGGAAAGTGTAGGTCCCCAGGGTTTGTTTTTGTTTCTTTGGGGGATTTTTTGTTTGTTTTTTGTTGGTGGTGTTGTTTGGTGTTTTTGGTTTGGTTTGGTTTTGTCTTTGTTTTTTTGAGACAGGATCTCTCGTTGTTACCCAGGCTGGAGTACAGTGGTATCACCCTCTGTAGCCTCCAGCTCCTGGGCTCAAGGGATCCTCCTGCCTCAGCCTCCTGAGTAGCTAGGACTACAGGTGCACCACCACACAGGGTTAAGTTCTTTTCTAATTTGTGGTAGAGACGGGAGATCTCACTATTGCTCAGGCTGGTCTCGAACTCCTGACCTCAAGTGATCTTTCTGCCTCGGCCTCCACTGCAGCCCCCGCCCAGGGAGTCAAGGACCCTCCTCGGCAGTGGCCATCAGAACTGATGCAGCTGAGAGGCTTACCGGTGGCACAAATCCTAAAGCACTGCCCAGCCAGCTGGAGATTCCCCCTCCTTCCCACCTGGCCCAGCAGGACCTCAGGGCTGGGAGTACTGGGATTACAGACATGAGCCACCATGCCCAGCCAGTCTTCAGGGTTTGAGAGGACCATGTGTCCAGGCTTGAAAGAAGTCCTAAAATGCCAGCTGACGATAGGGAGCTTGAGAACCAGAAGTTGGTGGGGGGGCATTTCCTAAGACCTGCTTATGGCCCAAGGCTGGGGGACAGGGCTGCTTCTTCTCAAGCCTGAGTAGTCTATCCAGCTCCCCCTTAACCCAGAGGGAGAAGTCAACTCAGGTGGAGGCCCCAGGTCTGCATAGACTGGGTGCATGTGAGCTGCCTGTGGCCAGATGGAAGGGTTTGGTGCTGTCCTTCCAGGGCAGGTGCAGATGGCTGTTTCTGGACCACTTGCACGTAGAGGAGTCTGGAGCCTTGGCTTCTCCTGGGGATGGGTGCCCCAGAGGCTCTGCCATGGGTAACTATGGTGGTGGTGTTTGCTCTGCCCCTGGTGTGTGCTGGATGCAGAGCAATACTGCAAGGTGCCCTGTCCCATCCTACCTTGTCAGTGTCACCATACTTATCATCTTGTGTGCTTGAGGAAACTGAAGCCCAGAGAGGAATGATGTAAGCCCAAGGTCATACTGCTGGTGACCCATGGGCTGGGGTCTCAGCCCAGCACTGTGGCTCCAAGCCAGCATTTGTCCTAGGAGGGCCTAGGAGGCCCTACGATGTTATCCTGGGTTGTGACCCACCACCAGGGTCTTCCTGGCTAGTGGTGGGGAGGTAGCCTGGCCTGGGTGCCGCAGGAGATGTCTGGGCTTCAGAGCCTGGCCCTGGCATGTTGAGTGGGGCACTTTGGCCTGCCCTGGTCTGTCCTGTCCACTGGAGGCATGTGGCCGACACTGTATGGAGTCTTCCTGGGCCCAGCTTCTGGTTGGGCAGTGGGCACAAGTCATCACTGCTAAGGCTGACCCGTGTGTGGGGTCAAGGTCTTACTCAGGAGGCTTAGGGGGCCTGGATGGCGGGAAAGAGTCTGGAGCATGGTGACCATCCTGCTGTGGACACACCACCTGGGCTGGGTGTTGGTTTGGCCAGGGCTAGCCCCCTAGAGTTCACCTAGAGAGCATCCCCTGAACAGCTGGTGGATGTGGACTTGTCCTTTTGCTGGGCTACTATACTCCAGGACATCTTGGGGCTTTCTGTGTTCTGCCTCAGAGCTGAGCCATCAGGGCTGAAGAGGCAGTGATCCCACTTCTCCCCAGAGCTTGCAGGTGCCCCAGGAAGCCCAGAGTGGGACAGAGAGCAAAATCCCCACCACCTCTCCCATGTTGAACTTGATTGGGCCTGTGTTGGGTCTGGAAGCTCTGGAGGAATGAGGCCTGTGGCCAGGGGCTGGCACAGGAGCTGGGGCAGCATTCAGGGTGAGTGGTGGGTGGTGCTGGGAGGTAAGGGTTAATGTGCTTGGTGGCCCCAGCACCTCCTAAGGAGGGCCCAGGACTCCATCCCACTGGCTGGGCAGTCTAGAGGCAGGAGGAAAGGCCAAGGAGGCTTGAGTTGGCAGGGCCCCAGCAGGATGAATGTTGTGGCTTCTCTGCTGAGGCCAGCAGACCTGGGAGGCAGCTGCAGAGCTGGTCCCAAGCCTCATCCAGGACCCAGGCAGCCTCACCAGGTGCCTAGAGCTGGCCACAGGGAGAGGCATGGGGATACCAAGCCCTGGGGTGGTGTTGGTGCTGGCGTCCTATTGGGCTTCCTCATGGGGGAATGTTACAGGGTGCTATGTGACTTGGTCTCACTTCTGAGCTGGCACTGTGGGGTTTTCTCCCTTGAACAAATGGCCAGTTGGTGCTGTGCTGCTTCCCTCCTGCCTGCCACAAACAGCAACAGTCCTCAGCCCAGGGCCTGCCTGGCATGGTGAAGCTGGGCGTCTGAAGCCCCCAGAGAGCCTCAGGTGCAGCCAGGGAGGGGGGAGATGTGTGAGAGGATGGAACCTGGGCCCTCAGTCCGTGCCTCCCCCAGGACAGCTGCTGCAGCAGCATCTGTATGTGCCCCTACCCAGTCCACTCACCACTGACCCCTGGGTTTGGATGGGGTGGACAAATTTCCCCGCCCCGCTCCTGCTGTGGGCAGCCTTAGCTTGTCCCGACCCTACCAAGGACCAGCCTCATTCCCCACTCCAAGGCCGTGTGTTCCCAGTTGGGGCAGGATAGTCCCTGCTGGGCCCTGATCCTCCAAGCTGAGCCCCACCAGCGCATTCCCCTTCCCCATCATGCACATTTTAATTTTTAACCGAACATAGAACTTGATGTTTGAATACAGATAATCTGTGGTGTTTGTGTGGATGTGGATTCTGTGAACAAGGCCTTTGTTCCCACTGTTGGTTCTCAACACTCACTAGACCTCACAGGTAATGAGAGAGCTGGTCAGCCTTTTGCAGCTCCTCAGCTCAGGGTACTCGGACCCCTGAAGCAATAGGATGGCAGCTAGGGCCTATTAAGGACCCCACACGTGCAGGTGTGGCCTGTGAGCACTCCTCTCCCTCACTGTGCAGAGAGGCTGCAACACAGGTGGGTCTCTGCTACACTGCATCCCCTTCTCAAAGAGTCCTGGACCCCAGTGGAAGCCTGTGGCCCAGGCCCACCACTGGAGAGGCTGTGGAAGCACAGTCTGGACAGGGGCCACTCTGCTGCCTGCCCACTTGTCCTCAGGCATCTGGGAGAGAATCTCTCCTAATGGAAAGCATGTCCCTGTCACTCCCTGCTGGCCATTGGTGTGCCCTCAACCCTCAAAATGAAGCTCATCCCAGGGCCCTCACATTCCACCCCAGCGTTTCCAGGCCTGCCCCACTGCCCAAGGCCTCTGTCTCTGCCCAGTTTCAAGTCTTTGCTCCTGTACCTCTTGGTTCCCATCTGGGCCTCACCTCCTCCCACTCTGTGAGTCTCTCAAGGGCTGAGCCCATAGCCCCCCATATGTCAAATGAGTGAGAGACCCAAAATGGGAGTGGCGCCCAGCATGCTGGCATCCGGCTGTCCACATGAGCAAGGATGCCCGGCTCCTGCCGACCCAGCTTATACCAGCTCAACTCAACACCATGTCCTGCCTGCAGCCCCTGTTCCCAGCTCCCCCGGGCATGCCCTGTGTGCCCACTTGCCCTTGTCCTGAGCCAGCTTGGCCTCCTGTGTGCCACAGCTTCACACCACCAACTCTCAGGACGGCTTCTATAGGTAACCAACCTCCCTGAGCAGGTGGCAGCTGCCTTCTCTCACTTGTGCTCACCAGGAAGGGCCAGGCAGGGGGTCAGTCTGAGCCAGGTCCCCAAGCCTCAAGATGAACAGCCAAGTGGGGCATGGCTGCCTCAGTGTGGGGAAGCAGTATCTGCTCCCCCACGGAATGGCTACTGGCTCAGTGCCTCTGCTGTGCCAGGCCAAGAGCCAGGTGTTCCTGTAGGGTTTCAAAATCTGGGCCTGTGGGGGACTCCGGATAGTCCCTGGACCCTAGGATGGGAAAAAGCCAGGCTCCAAGCCCCAGTGTGGCCAAACCAATCATTGCCAGTCCAGCCTGCATCAGGGAAGAGCTGTAACCCAATCCTGAGCTGATGAGGTCTCACTCTTGAGATTCCAGATCTCTGCAAGAGCCCAAGCTGGCTGTGTCAGGGACAGATGTGTGCTCCTGTCCTCATCAGCTGGAGTCCCCCAGGACAGCTGGCCTGGCCCTGGCTGGAGCCGGCAAACATCGGCGGGTACGTGCATGTGCACGAGTCCCGCAGGTCTGTGAGCTTCATCTCCCTTTCCTTCTTCGCAGTGTACTAACGGTCACTTGATGTGCGCTGGCTGTTTTATCCACCTACTAGCAGATGCCCGGCTGAAGGAGGAGCAGGCCACGTGCCCCAACTGTCGTTGTGAGATCAGTAAGAGCCTCTGCTGCCGGAACCTGGCCGTGGAGAAAGCCGTGAGCGAGCTGCCCTCAGAGTGTGGCTTCTGCCTGCGCCAGTTTCCCCGCTCCCTCCTGGAGAGGCACCAGAAGGAGGAGTGCCAGGACAGGTAGTGCTGGGGTCAGGGACTCAGCCTATGTGCAGGGCTAGGACAGGCCCCCATGTGGGGTGATCTGCTGGTTGTTTTCTGGGCCTTGGGTACCACACATGCAGCCCAGTGACGACCCTGCAGGCCCTGGGGTGGGATAGGTGGTACTGCACAGGACAGAGGCAGTGGGGTCAGCACCCAGTTTGCTATCTGAACATGACCCTGGTCCTCCAGGGCTGTCTATGGCTATGGGATAGCCCCTTGGAGGGCCCAGTACAGTGTGGCCAGCTCTGGGTGCTTGGCACGAGGCTGTGCTGACAGGCAGACACGGCTGCTCAGCTCGTGCAGCCCAACTACCATGCCTCTTCAGGGGGAAGGCTGTGCAGGGTCCAGGATGTTTGTCATCTGGCAGTAAGTGGCCACTTACTGCCAAGCAGAGGAGACACCAGAGCGGTGGGTCCAGGAGGCTGTGGGAAGACATTGGTGGCTGAGCAGGATTGGGGCAGAGGCTGTTATTGCTGTGCTCGTCTCTCCCCAGGGTGACCCAGTGCAAATACAAGCGCATTGGCTGTCCATGGCACGGCCCCTTCCATGAGCTGACAGTACATGAGGCTGCGTGTGCCCACCCCACCAAGACGGGCAACGAGCTGATGGAGATCCTGGACGAGATGGACCAGAGCCACCGCAAGGAGATGCAGCTCTACAACAGCATCTTCAGCCTGCTCAGCTTTGAGAAAATCGGCTACACAGGTGAGGCACCTTGCCGCCCGCTGCATGCCGAACACCTGTGGGCTTTGGGGGATGGTGGCCAGGAGCCTGGGGGGCAGCAGGCTCTGGGCAGTAGTCACACCCTGCGCCGGATGGCCAGGCTCTGGACAAGCTCCCAGTGGACAGAAGAACACTTCGGGGAAGAAGAAATGCCAGAGATGGAGTGGAGGGAGAGGCTGGGCAGGACCCCAGGGTACATCTGCGTGGCTTTCATGGCAGCCTCACCCCTACCTCCCCACCCTGGCCCCACCACCCCAGCAAGGTGGTGTCCTCACCGTGTGGGGCTCCATAACCTGGGACAGTCTACGTGGGGCTCCAGAACCTTCGGACAGTCCATGTGGGGCTCCACAGCCTTGGGATCTCACCAGCAAGTAGGGCATGTCTCAGGGATGCCTGGGGTCTTGGGGCCTGCTCCTTGGAGCCCGGGGCATGAAGAGCATTCCGTCAAGTCAGGTCTGACTGTGGGCAGTCACTGCAGTGGCCATGGGGCTTCCAAAGGCTGGCATGAAGCCGTTCAGGGACAGGGCTCCAGCACGAGCTGAGGGCACCCAGCGCAAACTGTAGAACTGGGAGTGGACGCCCATGGACGCACAGGCTGGACTGGGCCCAGGCCCACTGGATCTCATGGCTCTCCAAGCCACTGCCACCACCTTCAAATGTGGCTCCGCCGCGGAGCAGGAGCCAGGCCAGAGCCTGGGCCAGACAGCAGCAAGAAGCACCTGCTGATGCCGGGGCCACTCAGGAAAGCTCCATCCCTCTTCTGCTCATCCCACACCAGGCAGCCAGCTCAGAGTGGCCAGGGTGGTCATGGGCAGTTGGTCACACCATGCCACCTGGACTGGGCCTGGCTAGGTATGGGCCTGAGCAGGCAGGACAAGCCAGGGGCCCAGGGCCCTCAGCAGAAGGCTGTGGCTGCTGTTAGCAACCGCCTTAGCTGTCCTGACAGGATCAGGGCATGTGGGCCAGGCCTCGTGGCTGAGGCCGTGGGGAGCCCCATTTGTGCAAGAAGGACTGGCCGCCTGGCAGCCCACGCCTCCATGGAGGGACTTGCCAGCTACAGGCTGCAGGCTGCACAAGAGGACTGTGAAGGCAGGGCTGCCTGCTGACTGGCAGCTCCTGCAGACCACTGGGCAGAGCCTGCATCACAGCCTGACGCCCATGGACCTGGCGTTCCCCTTGGGCAGGGCTGGGTGCCACACACCTGTCCACCGGCTTTTCTGGCAGCTCTGTATCGGAACCAATAAAGTGCACTTGTTCTCAGAACTGCATCCTGTCTGTGTGTCTGCTTCCCCCACCCCTGTGGGGGCACTGGGGCTCAGGGTGAGGAGGGAGGCTGATGTGGGTTGGGCACGCCTGGAGTGTGGCCTGGCCACTCGCAGCCGCTGGACTCACTCTAGCTAATTCGTGTGAACTCTTTTGTGGTTGTTTCCCCCAAAGCTGTGTGCACCTCCATTTGCCATAATTGCGTTTGATTTGCCTTTGTGACAAGTAGAGCACGCTGTGTCTGGTAAGTTGCCTTCCTCCCTGGCTGAGCCTGTCCTCGGCCCGGTCGGGGAAGGTGCCGCCACACAGCCTGGCCTGCACTAACAGCCGGCTCTTTCCGGCCCTGTCTGTCTCTGCAGAGGTCCAGTTCCGGCCGTACCGCACAGATGACTTCATCACGCGCCTGTATTATGAGACACCAAGGTTCACGGTGCTGAACCAGACGTGGGTCCTAAAGGCTCGTGTGAACGACTCAGAGCGCAACCCCAACCTGTCGTGTAAGCGCACGCTCTCCTTCCAGCTTCTCCTCAAGAGCAAGGTCACGGCGCCCCTGGAGTGCTCCTTCCTGCTGCTCAAGGGCCCCTACGATGACGTGAGGATCAGTCCCGTGATCTACCACTTTGTCTTCACCAATGAGAGCAACGAGACGGACTACGTGCCTCTGCCCATCATCGACTCTGTGGAGTGCAACAAGCTGCTGGCTGCGAAGAATATCAACCTGCGGCTCTTCCTATTCCAGATACAGAAGTAGGGTGGGGCCCTAGGACGCCCAAGAAGCAGACGGGCCACCCCAGCTCAGCAGCACTTCACACGACTATCTGATCATTTCAACAGAGGAGACGGACAAACCAAACACACTGGGAAAGTCTGCATGCGTGTGTAACGGGGTCCCCGCCTCCGGCTCACCTTCTCTACCCCTGCCTTCCCTCCTCCTGAGGGCAGCCAGAGGCTGGGCTGACCCCCAGAGGAGACAGCGCACTGAGCACCCTGAGGTTCAGAGACGGTGGCGGTGAGGAGGGCAAGAAGCGCAGCAACCCCTGCCCCCAGCTCCCTTATGCGCAGCTAGGTGGTGCTGCCTGCTCTGGTTCTGTGCTCGGTTCCCCGCCGGGCTCTGGGAGCCTCGCTAACTTCAGACAGCATATTTGATTGCAATTAAAGAGGCAGCCTTGTTTCCTACTTTCTGTTTTGTTGGAGGGGAAGGCGTGGCTGTGATTGGACAGCGTGGGAGCTTTGGTTTGGCCAGGGGTCAGAGCCCGCCCTGTTCCTGTCATTGCACCTACATGCGTCCCCCCAGGAGAGACTCAGAGACACTGCCTTCCCCACGCCGTCACGGGGTCGCAAGATGCGGCATAAACAGAGAGAGCCAGGCAGGGTCGGGGCTCCCCTGGCCAACCGGCCACTCCCAGGGAGGCAGAACTCTGCCACCAGGTCTCAGCAGACGTTTTCGGAATGCAGGGTGAAATTCTGTCTCTTCCCAGGAAAAAAATTAAACTCTTTACAGGCTCTTCTATAAGTTATGCAATTTTAGCGAGAGAGAATCTACTTACTATATTCAGCCTTGAGGACCCAGTGTCCTTAGGCTGTGAAGAAAGCTCTAGGGGCCACAGCTGTGAGTCTGGCTGGGTGAGGGTCCCAGTGGTTGGCTCCCTTCACTGCTTTTGGGGACTGGCTGCAGTGGCTGGAGGCTGGGCAATTTGGCTTCCTGCCTGGAGGAGGTGAACCCTTCCCGCCTCGCTGGCTGCCCTCTGACACCCCTGCAGGGTTGAGCAGGGCCAGGGCTTAAGCCTCTATGGGAAGGATCCTCACCTGGAGAAGCTGGGTCCTGTCCTTTCTTCCCCAGGGGCCCTCAGAGATACTGGGAAGGGTACAGCTTGACCACCCCCTTCTTTTGCTTAGGAGATGTGGCTCTTCTGTGATAGCTTTTTGTTGCTTCAATACCAAAGAATTGGTTCCTCTGCCCCAGCGCAGACAACATGACTCAGAGCAGCCCCACCCTGCCCCTGCAGGCTGCCTGGGCCTGGCCCCCATCACCCTGTGCTGCCTCCCCTGCCATGTGGGTGCAGAGCCTCGGGCCTGGCCCTTGAGGATGGTAGTGGGCTGAGTAGCAGAGAGAAGGCGCTGCCAGGGAGTGCCCATCCACATGACTGAGCATGGCTGGGGCATGGGGCCCAGTGTGGCCCTCTCAATCAGTTCTCCCCTCCAGAGCAGCCATTCTGCCCCCTCACAGGCCAAGCATTTCTGGGAGCTCTTTCTGAGAATCCTGTTTGGGTTCCCATTCCCAGCCTGGGGCATGGGGCTTTCAGGAGTGCTTCACAGCCAGAGCCTTCTCTCCTGCAAAGCTGATGTGGCCTGGCCACGGAGGGCACGGGAAGGCCCCAGATTTGGTTTTCTGCGTTCTATAAAGAAAGATCCCACCGCAGCTCCCAGCAAATCCTTGGGAGCAGCTGCCTCTGACTCAGGTACAACCAGGGTGAATCCTGCTGCCCTCAGGGGTTGTCCCCACATCTGGCCTCGGAAGCACCGAAAGCTGAGAGGGCATGGGCTATGGTGCTGCATCTTGGTACCTTGGGAGGTCAGACACCCTTTCGGGTAATGTTCCTGGGTTCCAGGGTGGTGGTGTGGGGGGTGCTGGAGTGGGGGCAGGCTTGCCCCATCAATCTGTATTTGTGTGTTTGTGAGAGAGAGATTGATTCAGCTGAGGGCAAGCCCTGGGAGTTCCTGGCGGGAGAACAGGGTGGGAGCCTTGTTCCCCATGGGCACAGGCTGGGATGCCAGCCCTGGGGGGGCACTGTGCTCCTCAGGGGCCAGGGGCAGCAGATCTCTGTGTGCAGGTGAATGTATGTGTGACTGCAGAGAGGGACAGGCTGGGGGCCACAGGAGGACGGAGACCCAGGGCTGGCTGAGCTCCTGCAGCTCTGCTGCCTCAGTCCTGGGGCAGGCAACCCTGTGTGTGCGGTGGGGAAGAGGGGCCAGCTCAAGGGCCCTCAAGGGCCCATGCAAGGCCTTCCCTAGGGGTGTGGTGTGTGTCTGGGGGCATCCCTGAGGACTACTGATACATCCCAGCTTCCCTGCAACCATCACACAGCAGTGGAGCCCTGCGACCTGGGGGGAACAGGAACCTGGGGAGACTAGTGCGTCTGCAGCTGCTGGCACACTAGCCATAGTGCACAGACCTTGTGGCATTGTCACTGTGGGCCATATGTTACTGGGGGTACCACAGTAGTGGTTGGTCTCCAGGATCCTGTGTCATCTCGGTGTCCCAACCTGGTCCTTTGTGTGCCGTCTCTGAGGATGAGGGGTGGGAGTCCAGCCTCAGCAGATGTAGGGAAGGCCTGGGGGTGTGTAGCTCAAGCCGGGCCCCGCCCTTCTTTCCCATCTCACTCCCAGCCCCTGTGAGTACCATATCCCTCAGTTGCCCAAAGTGAAACATTTACAAAAACAATAAAAATAATTTTTAAAGAGCAGAGTAAGAAGTGTTTTTACCACTGTCTGAAATGATTTACGTGTTACTTTTGTGGTCTGTGTTCTCTTTGGATATTTTCTGTACGTAACTGTAGTTTAAAAAAGTATTCCAAACCATGTTTTGTCTGTGTTTCCTTACCAAAAGACAGCCTCTAGGTGGGCCTTCTGGGCTCTGTTAGCTTCCCCTGCCACCCTAGCCTGTGGCTACCCCCAACCCCAGGCCTCCAGCCCTGTGCAGCACCCACCTCATGTACCATGTGCATAACCTGTCTGGTCAGCGGGGAGACAGGCATAGAGAAATCAGGTTGTCTCTGAAGGGGAATCGGGCTTCCAGGAGCTGGGCTGTCCTGTGAACACTGGGGTTAAAGAGGGTAGTTCATGGTCTTCCCAGCAGCTCAGGGGCCTCCCCTTTCTGAGCCACCCTGTCTTCAGCACCATCCCTCATCCCTCATGCCCTCACCTCACCAGGCTGCTCTCCATGCAGCTGCCTTGGTTTCAGAGCCATGCTTTGTGTGACAAGGGATTGGTGATACGGGCCTCCAAGTCCTGTCCCCCCATGCCCAGCTGGGAGCCTTCTTCCTCCTGCTGCTTGTGACTGCCCTGAAGGGCTCTGTAGGCTTGGCCTGGCCCTGGCCCTGCAGCCCTGGAGGCAGCAAGGCCCAGACCTGCCCAGTCCCAAGGCCATAGCAGCCCTTCCTGGACCCAGAGACTCATCTGCCTTCCACAGACCTTGCCAGCTGAGAATTTTACCCCACTGGTCTGTTTTGATCATAATAGAAAATAAACCCATCTCTCTCCCACTCCCTCTGGGACCTTCAAGACACCAGCCATTGCATCAGAAGTCCAGTGCTTGGTGCGCTATGTAGCCAGGAGTGAGAACCCCAAGGCATGGCAGGCGTTTGGTCCTCAAGGTAATGGGGGACAGCGTAGGCATTTGGAGGTCTTGTGCCTGAATGCCCCAAGTCACAGGATTCCAGACATCCCTCAGACCCTCACGTGGGTGAGAAGTCTGGGTTACAATGCTCTGAGCCTAGATCCTAACTCTTTTTTACCTATCAACATAAAATAGTTTTCCAGTTTTAACATACGTTCAGTTAATTTTCCAGGAATACAACCGGCACACACGTTGAGAAAACAGTACTTTATGCTCTATTCATTTTGGACAACACATTTTTCCCTCCCCCGCAACGGCCCTGGGGGTTTGAGTCCCCAAATGTGACTCAGCTGTGTCCATAGCAAAGAGGAGAGCGTCTGACGCCTCAACTACGTCCGCATATCCACACAAGTACATTTCACTATAAATCACTCTTATTTTCTCCTATGCGTATTACGTTTGTTTTCAAAGTTGCGTGTGTGAGTAAATTTTGTGTATTTTAATATCAACAGGCATCAGAGGCGGCGTCAGGAACCTGTGTAGTGAAAAGGGCAGGTGGGCTCCGGCGGCGCGGGCGCGCTCTTCACAGCCCCGGAGCCCAGGTGGGCTGATGCCCGGCCTGCCTGGAGCCCTGCACTCCCTGCTGGGAGGAACAGAGTCTCCGTAAGGCACTCCGCCGCCCGGACAGTGGGCCCAGGGCCCGGGGACGACCCACCTTCTCCGGCCCACCCCCTCTCCACCTCGTACCTGCCCACCCCCTCTCCACCTCGTACCTGCCCCTACGTCAGCCGGACTACGACTTCTTGGAGGCTTCGGGGTGAGTGAACTACACTCCCCAGAATGCCCTACGGCCGAGGTGCGGTACTGCGCCTGTGTGCGGAAACAGGGGCGGGGCGCGAGGGGCGACGCGGTGGGGCGGGGCCCAGGCTGGGCCTGGGTCGGGCACGCCTAGCGGCGAAGGGGCGGAGTCGCGGGCGCAGCGCGGGAAGTCCGGATCCCGAGCTGCGGTGGCGACCAGAGCATGAGTCTAGAACGCGAGCTTCGCCGTGAGTCCCTCCGGGCCCCGGGTACCGGGAGCGCGGAGGTCGGGAGCGGACTCGGCTCGGCTCAGCCTCCGGCGCTTCTTCCTCCCGGCAGAGCTCAGCAAGGACAAAGCCAAGGCCCAGAGCGGCGGGCAGCTGCTCGAGGAGGCCGCCTGCTGCCACCAGCTGGGGGAGCTCCTGGCCAGTCATGGTGCGTGCGGCTCCGCGCCGGGCCGGGGCTGGGCGGGCGGGAGGTGAGCGGACCCTTCCCGAGCAGGCGCCGTCCCGCGCGGCCGCTGCCCCGCACCGCTCGCACCCTGGCCAGGCTGTGTATGCCCTTGCCCGCCTAGGCCGCTACGCAGAGGCCCTGGAGGAGCATCGGCAGGAGCTCCAGCTCCTGGAGAGCGCTGGTGACCCCCTGGGCTGCGCCGTGGCCCACCGCAAGATTGGAGAGCGTCTGGCAGAGATGGAGGACTACTCAGCTGCCCTGCAGGTGTGGGGCACCACTGGCCACACCCCAGCCTGCGTCGGCTTCTACGACTTGGAGTCCCTTTCCGAGGAGGGAGGCAGAGTCTTCAGTGTCAGCCATCTGGCCTGACACAGCCTCACCTTCAGGGCTCCATACTAGGGGACGGTAGCCTGATCCTGGGGTGGGGACACCACAGCCTTTCCTGGAACTGGGGCGGGAATAGGTTTCCTGGCACCAGAAACCATCAGTGAGCACATTGTTTCAGCTGTGTTTGCAGAGGGAGTGGGGGGATCAGGACCCACTGTCCACACAGTGCATTCCCTGGCT